TCTCTCTCTCTCTCTCTCTCTCTCTCTCTCTCTCTCTCTCTCTCTCTCTCTCTCTCTCTCTCTCTCTCTCTCTCTAACACACACACACACATGCATGCTCCCGCAGCTTGCTCTTGAGCTCCCTAATGCACTCAACAACAGAAGTTGTAAGTCAGTATGTGACTATTTCCTAGAAGACCCCCAACATATCCTGAGACACCCAATGATAAGTATTGCAAACACCCATTGCAACGAAACAAAATGCCGCTGCTGTGACACCCACCGGGGAAAAAAGCAACATGCTCGAATGGAAGGTTTGTGCGGTAACACAAGCGCTCTACACTGTCCACCAACTACAGCACTCCAGTCCCCTGAAGAATCTGAAAAACTCAGCCGACGGGAATCTCGCTGGCAATCGAAGCCTTTTGAGTTGCACTGCACAAAACAGGCCGACAGTATGAGACTCTTTCATGGCACCAATAGTGCCATTGCTGAAAGCACCCGTGAATCACACCCACAGCAAACACTGTCTGAACCTCCTCCTGATGAAGATGCACAACAAACACTGTCTGAACCTCCACCAATAGTGTTTGCTGTGGAGGTGAGACTGCCTTTCTCCACGTGGTCCGGAACATGAGCACGCGTGAATCACACCCACAGCAGCAAACACTGTCTGAAACTCCTCATGAAGGTCGCGAAGGTGAACAAAACCTCATCCCCACCATTCAATATATCATACAATATTCTACTAGCGTGGGATGCTCGTATCACCCTCTCTAGTAAACAACCAAGGCTTTCCTAAAAAAATAAAAATAAAAAATAAATCATACAATATTCCGCCATGGCCACACTGGGTCGAAACTCAAATTGAATAGTGAAGAAAAAGACTGCCCAAAAATCTGTCTGCGCTAAGAAAGACAACAGAAAGTCTCCAACGAGACCTTATGTCAACAGAGGTAAACCACCAAGGCCAGTCCCAGAAGCCGCATAAGAATTGGCCGTTAGTATGAGGCTGATTCCATTTGCGCAATCTACCAAGGCGGAGAGCTAGTGAGTCCGTCAAGTTTTGTATGGAATCAACTTTTTTTTTTTTTTTTTTTATTAATTTTTTACATCCTGAGAGATCCTATGGTCCCTTGGTGATAAGAGCACCAAAGGGGTCGAGGATTTCCTCCGGATGGCTCCAAATCTATTGGTGGGGAGCAGCACTTGCTGGAGACTGGGTCCAGCGTCCCGTAAATACAGAGAAACACATACAAGTACAGGAAGCATTACCCATAGTTATAGAATCAACTTACATCAAGCAATTCTAGTTATACAAGCAATAAGTCATACAAAAAATGGAGAGTGCAAGGCTGACATCCGTGTGTGTGTGCATGTGCATGTGTGTGTGTGTGTGCATGTGCATGTGTGTGTGTGTGCATGTGCATGTGTGTGTGTGTATGTGTGCATGTGCATGTGTGTGTGTGTGTGTGTGTGTGTGTGTGTGTGTGTGTGTGTGTGTGTGTGTGTGTGTGTGTGTGTGTGTTTTGGATTTTCACCACAACAGCCCCTATTCGACCAAATGAGTAGATCCAAAATCGAAGCGGCTCTAGTCCTATTGCAGACAACGAAAACAGTTTGAGTTCAGGCGGTTCAACAATGAAACAGTTTCACCTCTATAGCAAGCAACACGGAGCACAACAGATCCGTTTAAATCCCTTTCTTAACTGTGTTTAGTGTGGCATTCTTTGGGGTACCCCTTTCATTTATTCTTGCAGCTCCCCTTTTTCTATGCCTCTCACGTACAAGGCTGGCCACACTGACTGTGGTTGAGTGCCCGCTGCCCATATCCCTGTGTGTGCCTTAACGGCATACTAGCACGTTATGGAAGGAGGCAGAGTAAATGGGGCGGTAAACTCCTGTTCATTTTACGTCAGAACAGCACACGTGCACGTTATGGAAGGAGGCAGAGTAAAGGGGGAGGTATACAGTATACTCCTGTTGATTTCACATCGGAATGGCAGACTTGCACGTTATGCAAGGAGGCAGAGTAAAGGGGGAGGTATACTCCTGTTCATTTTACTTCAGATCTTCAGCTTTATACTTTTGTCTGTTCTCTTAGTGATGCTCATTCATATGCATTTACTAGTAGCATGCAAGGGAAGGGAGGAAGGAAAGGGGTAGGAGCCGAAGTTCTGTAGGGACTAAGGGGTAGGGGAGGGGGAAAAGGGAAAGGGGGGAAAAAAGTGTAGGGGAGGAAGTGGAGTGGCAAAGGACAGGACAAAGATATGACGAACTTGATAGGGTTCCAAGGACTCGCCGCTGGAGCAAACTACTCTAGAATGGCACAAGAGGCCAGTCAGTGTTTGGGCTGCAGCCTGTGGTACGTGGCCACCCCTAAAGACTGGACAGGAGCGGTTGGGGTGTGGACTGTGGAAGCACCGCATCCAGTTCTCGCAGTCGCAATTGCTGCATTAAATGGCACGATGTAGACAGATGTCAAAGGCTACATGGCTCCAACATGATAGGAACACAGGCATGCCGACCACAATTGTAGAGGCATTGCCATTCCAGTCTTCCCCGTCTACAAATCGGACATGACATGTCAGTGTGCCGTACATGAGTGCAATATTGTATTATATTGACTGTCGTCATACATATGAAAACAGAAACCAGCATTGGCTATCCCTTCATAATCCTCACGGCACAAGGCACGTGAACCACATGCTAGCCGAATCTCAGGCGGTTCATCACAGAGCGGCATTGAGCAGGTTTCTTGGGTTTCCCCAGTATTTATCCCCTTTCTATGGGCAGACGATGACGGGGATTGATCCAAAGCAAACGTATTTATCTGCTGCCGGATTTGATCTGCAACAGCTCGCCCTGGTGATGGTAAGCTTTCAGTACAGCGCTCTGTAGATGGTTCATATTGCTAGTCTATTTTCCTCCTTAGGCTGCTGCGTCTGTCGTTTGTCTGGCAAGGATGAAGGAGATCGGACTGCAATTGCAGCAGGTGTATGCCCAATATTGCATGTGGGACATGCTAGGAGAGGATATGGCAGATGATAGCATCTGGGATAGTCTGCGCAGTAGAGACGCATAGTTTCTATGACAGCTTCGTGGAAACATTGACGACGCATGGCATGTTGCTGACGTGTCAGCAGGAAAGCACGCTGATGTTCCCAGCTATTCAGGCAAGGCATGTCAAGCCCATGGCGGCATGCTGGGCAAGTAATTAGGGGGTGGGAGCGATGAGTAGTACAAGACAAAGGGTCGCAGGTTTCACGGTGGAGGCTGGCAGCGACCATCCCTTCATAGTGTTCGGAGCAGAGACTATGCTGTGTGCATGCTAACTGGACTGTAGCTGTGGACGACAGAATGGGATGGCACAGCCACTGTCCTCTGAAGAGGCCCCTTCACTGTCCGCGGTAGGATCCGTCTGATCCACACAGGGAAGGGACGGTGCCTGGCCTTGCACAGGGGAAGGAGGAGGTTCAGCTGGATTGCTCTCCGGAGGCGGCAGAGCTTGCGAGTGCACTGCTACATACTGTTCCTGATTCATGAGCCAGACTGAGTGATGTTCTACCCCTTGCTGATAGAAAGAGTCAATATTTCCTGCCGTGTGCACCCTGCCGCCATTGCCCCATGTGTGTGTGTGTGTGTGTGTGTGTGTGTGTGTGTGTGTGTGTGTGTGTGTGTGTGTGTGTGTGTGTGTGTCATAAATCATACCCCACGGCGTACTTGCCACCCCCCCCAATAAAACAGTGGTACACCAGGTCCTGGTCATGTCCAAACTAACGCTCTCTGCTGCCACTTCACTTCTCTGAAGCTACCTGATACATCCATAGCTTACCATGAGCAGCTTTCCAGAGTCCCACATAGGATGGACAGCTTGCGGGAGGCGGGAGGGCAGACCACACAGAAACAGACTAAACAGGCAGGCCAAAAAAAACAAGTCCCAAAAAGATGCCTAGACCAGGAGGAAAATAGGATGGAGGGCACGGGGGAGGCGGGAGGGCAGACAACATACAAGCAAACCAAACAGGCAAACCAGAAAAAAAAAAAACAAGTCCCCAGAGTAGTCACGCTGATGGTCGGTGCCCCTGGGTTGGTCGGGTGCCGACCAGCCGACTGTCGGACTAGTCGGCACCTACGGGTCGGGGGTTGGTTGGCACGCCCCCAATTTTATTTTATTTTATTTTTTGGGTCCAGAACCCCAAATAACCCAATCAACACCCCCATAGCCATTCCCAACACCCCCATACACCCCCCCAACACCCCCATACCGCCCCCTAACACCCTCATACTCCCCCCTTAACCCCCCACACCCCCCCTATAACCCTCCTATACCTCCCCCTATAACCCCCACCACCCCGAAAAAAAATTATTGCGGATTTGGGCTGCTCTCCTCAAGCCGCGCTCGACCATGTAATCATAATTTTTTTTTTTTAATTGCAAGGCAGTCTGCCGACCACCGACGGGTCCACCTACGGGTCGGCCTGACTGGTAAGCGCGCCTACCCCCTATGGTAGGCGTGGGTGGTAGGTGTCAAAACTACCCTGCAAGTCCCAAAAAATGCAACGGCCAGAAAAAATAAAAGCTTTGTTTCATTGGAGTTGCACTGGCTCGTCAGGAGGCTGAACCCTCGACAATCTGCGGAATCCCCGTATTGATGGTTTGGGTCGTGAACCCTTTGACCCTTGTTGAAGGCAGACTGTCCCCATGCGGAACATAGCAGCAGGCAGCAACTCAGCGAAGCACCAGGCAACACTGCAAGAGCAACCCAACTGCACAATGCCAAAAACGACTGCATGGAACGACAGGGCAAGTGGATGAGCAGCACAGCAATGGCGCAGCAATGCACAATGCAACACCGACACAGCAGCCACACCACACCGCAGACAAGCAAGGACGAACATGGAAGGTAAGGCACACGGATGGGCAACAAGGCAGCAGTGCAGCAAAGTATGGGGCAACACCAACACCACAGCCACAACACACAGTGAACACAGCAGCTTGCAAAAGATGGCATACGACGTAAGCAGGACGGGCAGCAAGGCAGCGGCAGAGTGCAGACAAGGCAGTCTAAAAATCCAACACGGAGCAAAGCGGCACATCACGTGCTCACATCCCAGATAAACCCAACAGACTGTTGGTTCCCACCACCCACTGAGCCAGGGAGTCAACTCGACGAACACCTGTCATCACCCGTAAGGCAGACAGACATCCCGAATCGAGCAG